ACAAATGCGTCAAACTGCGTTGCAAAAATTCAGAGAAGTCTTGAGCTGTTTGTAAATGTAGAACTTCTATCAGATAATCTTGCCCTAACAAGTTGCATGGCGAGTCCCACTTAATTTCAATAAAAAAAAGTCTTCCGTCAAACCTAATCAACCAATTCTATTTACCGTATTTCCTCGAATGAGCGCCCTGGCTTTTCTTCAAAATCTCGGCTGAATAAAGGGGAGCTTATTGGAATGAGAGTGTTTAATAAGAGTGGCGACTTAAGAAGAAACTAGTAGCATGTACTGACTCAGCTATAGTTGAAGCTTAAAAAGTTATACAGTAGATAAGGTGGCGATGGAAACAGGTTCTTCTTTATATTTAAGAAAGCGAGTGAGGAGAGGGGGGGGAGGGAGGGGCGGGATAAGTTGCAAGCTGTATCTAACAGTACATTTCAAACTTTCTCATGTGATGATTCCTTTTTAACTGAATAAGTAAAAGTGAACCGAGACTTTTTTGCTATCTTAAGATTTCAGATGATTTTTAGCCCTTATGAGCAGTTTCTCTGAAAGCTCACTCACGAAATAAAAATATTGTCAAGATTGCTCACTTAAGGTTGCCCTTTAAAGAAAATTAAAGAGTAGATTTAAAGAAGGACAAAAACAAAAAGAAAACGAAAGCAAAAAAAAAAAAAGAAAAGAAAAAGAGAACACTGCGTGAAAACTCTGTGAGGTATCCTCTCTCTTCCTCAGCATGCGGTTGCATTAAGGGTACTGCGGTTTGGTTATTTCAACCTTTTTCAGTTTGTTTATTAGTTCTCCTCTATGCTGCGGAGGGAATCAAATAGGTTTTGGGTGCGCTAATCCTGATGTAAATTGCTTAAATTGGTCTAGTTCACGTGGTCACACTAAGTTTTTGTTCTATTAAATATACCGTAATAGTTAATTGATGTCGATATCATTTAATCTTGCGCGTCAGCTTAATATGCACTCTATTGTTATATCTATCGGTTTTTGCCATCCCGAGCCGGCCTTGGTCTTTCTACTAGAACTTTTTTACCCTTCTCTGAAAGTTGTTTCACAGTGTTATGACTAGAGGTGACATTATTTTAAAACTCTTTCATCATATCAACATTTAAGTTACCACAACAACTCGATACTTTCTAAAGGTGACATTTTGTTTCCAAACCTGATTTTGAACGATTCCTTGGAGAGGTAAAAGGCAGCCCACCTCTCATAAGGTTGTAATCCTTTAGCAGTCAATAAAGAGAGGGGTCAAAAGGTTTCTCTTTAACTTTCTAAATCGTGTCTACCTCAACACCAATTTTTTGTCGTTATTCACTGATTTTATATGCATCACCCAGGAAAAATTGTGGAAACTGTTGGAGGCCATACGCATGTACACAGTCGAGAGAACCTCTCTTGACAAGATACATAGATCTGAATTTTGAACGGAATAGCATACACACCTCTGAAGTGCTTTTCAAAGCACATTATTGTGATACTGTGCGTTGCTTCATGTTGAAGTCTATTCTAAACTTATTCCCTTATAGCCAGTTAACCAATTCACAACCTACTAATGATGTACACTGTTAAAGTACCGCCTACCACACTTTTCATTATGATTCATTTATCATTGTTGGCGTTGTATCAGTTATTCTGCTGGGAATTCTCATCCGTCGTATTTTAATTACTTGTGAGCGTTTGTAAACAGTTTGAAGTTGTAGGGAGAAGTCACCCATCAATCATTCAGGCAGTAACCGAGTTAACATTGCATAGGGATAACTGGAACTACAAAGTAATGTACTACAACAGGCTTGTCATCTTATTGTCCCCGTAAAAACCTCTAAAAGATGATGTGTTTCCCAATAATTTTCAATGAAATAAGCCATTTAACATTTTGAAAGTATGCGTGCGGGCGAAAATTGTAATACCGAGAACGACTTTCAATTAAGTATACTTGGAAACATTTGGCGGTTAACTTTCTTGCTCTAAGATAGAAAGAGTCCTCGAGATCCAGAACTGTTTGTGACGAGCAGTAAAAATAATGAGATCTGAAATACCTGAACTGAGACCGTTTGAAGGTCACCGATGGGCTTAGATAAATTCTACCGGCATAATTTTGGGAATAATGATCAACATACTTCCGGCATGAATACTAACATTCTTGATCGTAAATGTGTCAAATGCGTTTCTATTACTTTTAAAAAGACGTTTTTGGGGTCCTTTTCAGCATATACGTTTCAAACACCGTTTCTCAATACTACTCTTCTCACACTTTTTAGACTAGGTTACCTTATTAAAAGCTTGGCTACTGCCTCACATACTCAATAAGACATAAATACGTGTAGCCTAAGAATTTGGTCC